TATTTCACATTTGGTGGGGTTTAAAGAAAGGCACAGGCTTTCTCCCATATATATATATATATATATATATATATATATATATATATATATATATATATATATATATATATATATATATATATATATATATATATATATATTATGTGTGTGTGTGTGTGTAGATGAATGGTTCAGAGAACCGACATGTTGATAAATTAGACACATGTGCAACTCTTGGGTATCTTTATTGAGGGAACGTTTCGCTACACAGTGGCTTCATCAGTCCATACGTAGGAGAAACTTGAAGAACAGGAGGAGAATGAGGCAATCAGTCCCTCAACCTTGAGTCGATGTGTTCAGCCCATCAATCTTGAACAGAATACGGCATATGAGCGGTGTCACATTTGTTAGGAATTCTTTGCTTGCCTAATTCTTGGGCACGACCTACTTCCACATTGAACAAATGTGACACCACCTATGACTGCTGGACCTCTCCTGCCATACGGTTTATAAGCTGCTTCTCCGCTCATATGCCGTATTCTATTCAAGATTGATGGACTGAACACATCGACTCAAGGTTGAGGGACTGATTACCTCATTCTCCTCCTGTTCTTCAAGTTTCTCCTACGTATTGACTGATGAAGCCACTGTGTGGCGAAACGTTTCCTCAATAAAGATACCCAAGAGTTGCACATGTGTCTAATTTATCATATATATATATAAACAAGTCGGCCGTCTCCCACCGAGGCAGAGTGATCCAAAAAGAAAGAAAATCCCAAAAAGAAAATACTTTCATCATTCAAGAATTCATTTACAATTAAGTCCCTTCTAAATATTTTCTCTTATACGTTTAAAGATATATTTTTTTCATCTGTGTTAATGTAAAATTTAATAATTTTGTACCTAATCCAACTAAATATATTTTAGATAAGCTTACAGTAATTTAATAATAAACAAACACAATGAAATAGTTTTTCGCTAGGTTCAGAATGATTTTTGCGAAATTGCTGAATACACAAATTTTCGCTTGTCTTATCCAGCAAGTAGAGCGTTGCTATTTAAGCCAAAATCTTAAGTTTTGCCTATTCGGCACGACATACTGCTTGTCTATGTAGATTATTTGCAAATCTAGAAGGATTTCAACAGCAGCCAACTTAATAAGATACAGAAAACACAAAAACCAGAAGTGATAATACCCTGAGATTGAGGTTGTGTGGAATGATTACCCAAGACAAAATGACTGAACCATCCTTCAAGCTCAGCCCTCCTCCACCCACCATCCTAACAAATCAGAATGCCACAACACATCTAACGATCACCAGACGATCTAGGGCTGTATACTACCGCTAGATGGCCCTGGTTACTGTGTTTACAGCTGGTAAATCTGACTGTAGGGACGTGGTTGGTCTTGTGAGCTCCGAATAAATATATACATACTCTGGGCACGCAATAAGCACTCAGAGTAATTTGCTGCCTGGTAATGTTCATAACCTTGTTCATTCATCCTGTTAAAAGCATTAACTAATTCCACAGGCATTTGCTTATCATATACCTCCATATTTTTTTACAACATTTAAATATAATTTTGACAAAATGCTACACATTTTTAAACCACATCTGACGTCCACAACCAAGGTCAGCTGACCCAAAAAATGGAAACATATTCACCATTATTCATTCAACAGAACTCTTGCTAGAAGTAACAGATTTCATAGTTCAAATTATTTTCTATATTTCTACATCCTCACTTATCCTTGAGAGTGCAAGCGCTGTACGTTCCACTTACTGAACTCAAGTTTGGTAAACTGGTTCTCCTGCATCCCTTGATAAAAGCTCCCTAGCTCACACGCCAATAGCTGGACAGATCCTTAAAAAAAAATTGTTTCCATTGTCATCTAACACGCTCATACATCCCAGCTAGATGCTCTCGAATACTCGATGCTAAAGGGATTACTTTTCAAAACTCTTCCCGTCCCTCCCTCCAACTATTTTTTGGATGACTCCCACCCCTCCATCCTTCCACCCCAGTTTTACGTTTCCTCTTGGTCATCTTATTATTCCTCATTCTTTCTAAATGACTAACCCACCTCAACAACCTGTCATCTGTTCTCTGACTTATACCTTTCCTAACCCACCTGTCTTTAAATTTCTGTTTTTAATTCTGTTCATAATATTCACACCACACATTCCTCTCAAACATAATATCTCCACTGCCTCTTCTTTGATGCAATGTTTAAAGAACATTCTTCACATCCATATAAAAAAATTATTGGTATCACTATAGTGCATTTTGTTTTGCATCCATTGATAAACTTCTTTTCATCCACAAATACCTCAGCACTCCACTTTCATTTTTCCCTCGTCTATTATGTGGCTTCCCTTGTCTATTCAGTGCTTCCCCTCGTCTTTTAGAGAGTCATTTCTTGAGTCACCGATTCCCAGATATCTAAATACATTCACTATCTATACCTTGCTTTTTTTATTCTTAATTTTAATTTCCTTCTTTTGTTTATTCTCCCAAACTTATCAGCCAACAGTTGCACTTATTCAGAAACTTCCAAGAGGATTTTGCCTTTGGAACAGAGTAACTGTGAGAGCATCATATTCTTTATCTTTTGCGCTCACATCTCTCCCCAACGCCCTAATATTCACTTCATTTATAACCCCATTTAAAAATATCCTAAACAACAATAGTGACATCACACTTTAACTGGAAAATAATGCCTTCTTTCGTACATAACCTTACTCTGTACGTAAAAAGTCTTTACTACATTGAGTAACCTACTACCTCTTCCGTAGATCTGCAATATCTGCCACACTGCTTCACATCCACCCTGTCATATGCCTTTTCTAAATCCACAAATACGAAAATTTTTATTTACCTTTATCTAAGTATTATTCACCTATACGATTCAATGTAACTACTTTACCCAAGCATCTACCTTTCCTAAATCCCCCTTATGCATCTACAAGCCTACTGTCTGTCTTACCCCTAATTATTTCAATAATAATTCTCCAATAAACTTTCCCTAGTATATTCAACACTATCTCTTGTCTCCCTTTTCATTATACAAAGGAACTATTCTTGCTCTCCCTGTTCCTAGGCAAGTCTGTTTGTCTGTGCTACTGTAACTCTCGATAAAAAAATACTGCTTTACACTGTACCAGGTACACTCAACAAGCTTATTCACCTATAGTTCTTCCATTCTCTCTTTCTTGGCCATATTTTCCTTATACAAAAGAAACTATGTAGCACATGCATGCGCTGGAACTACTCCCAAACTACATCTCCACCTGTTCTTGACATCAAATCCCATTTGTTCCCCTTACTTTGCTCTCTTTCAATCAACTTATGGCCTTCAGTAGTTTCCTTACTTCACCCTACTCCTACCTGGTCTTATTACTTTCTGCATAATGAGTGAAAGCAACTTCATCAACACTTTACATCTCTTTAAAATATTTCATCTTTCTAGAATCTCTACCTTCCTTCCTAATATCTTACCTTATTAACATCAAAATTCGTTTACTAAGTGCAGCGACTTAGGATTGTGACGTAGCAAAGGTCTCTTCTTTGGCGTTGTGACAAGGCTTAATATTTTAGTCGTGTTTACTGAACACTTACTACAGAATGAGACATTTATCCTTCTGCAAGACTATGCAGATGTTAGTGAAGAAGGACTTTGCACGAATTTACCATACATGAGTGCGGCTACCGAAACTTACATTTAATAAAGAATGAAAATAATATCTTTATTTTGTTGTATGTTCAGAGTACATATTCTTGTTGTAGTCAGGGAGAAGCGAACGCGTTTATTGATAAATTAGTAGCCAAGTTTTGAACAGTCATATATTGAAGCTTTTTTTTTGTGAGAGAGAGAGGAAGCTCCTCTATTCACACTGCATAACAACCAATTGGAGAATGGGAAAACATTTACTAAAATAATAACTTGTAACAAATATGTCACACTACCATGCAGGAACAATTCACACCTAACTCACAAATTGGACATAAAAACTGGACGACTTCTGATTTCGTTTTGAACCATCATTATCATGTCACGAGATTTCATATTAGTCTTGTGGGTTAGTTGCGATTACCAGCTTGTGGTGTGAAGGAGCACATGAGAAGAACAGATAGCAGACGACTTGGAAGTCTACACCTAGTATATTTGTTGAGAGCTATCTACGTCTACCTAGATCGAGAACTATAGTATATTATTTAGGTGTCTGATTCAAGGATAAAGTATCACAGAGAGCCAAGCTAGTTCACCAAGAGCCAAGCCTCATACACTTACGCAACATATGGGAATCTTTATGTTGCATAAGTGTCTCAATCTTCAACTTGTCGGTTTTCAAGCCATTTACCACACAAGCCTCATACAGCCGCCAGCCTAGCTAACACACCTAGGCTCAGGAACACCACCTTGGGTAGGTCGATGTTGGCATATTTCTGTCCAGTTATGTATTAAAAATAGATGAAAACTAATGTGGTCACAGGTCTCGTTAGAGACCAATAACAAAGATTAGCTCTGATTTATATTATATTTAGTTGCTTGTTGATTAAATGTATAAACAGTAACATTTTATAAAGCTAAATAATAAATCTTAAGAAGAATTAACTAAAATAAAATACTGTTATAGAAGTGAACCACATAAAGCTAAAACATTAATTCCAAACAAATATCCAATATTTGATATGATACTAAGACCAATAATTGATTATTGCTTATGTTACAGCAGTGGCTGAGTGAGGGATTCCATCAAGTTCATGCAGCTGAATAAGCTTGTCTAGATTATATGAGCTTGCTGCATGAAGATTTAAAACAAATTGCAGGTGTGCCTGAAGTCTGTGCACTTCATGCACACTGCCACAATCCTATTAAATTTTTATTCGGAACCTCATTAAATCATTGTTAAAAAAATAAATTAGAAATATAAGAAAAAAAAATCACCTTGGATTCAAAACAGTTCCAAAATGTTCGGAACATAACAATAATAATTTTAGATTAAAAACAAACTGCAGACTTTATATGTTATTATTGCAAAGTTTCATACCTTCTTATTCATCTGAACAAGTTCATCATTTACTGTGCTTCATATTCCCAGCATAACCCATGAGGAAGGCTGCACTTATGACTACTAAGAGGGAGTGTCGAGGTTGTATGTGGTAACTGAGAGAGAGTTTTTTGGCTCTTTATAATGACTAATAATAGGCTGTGATAAGGCTGTCGATGGTAACATCTTGAACGACTCCTCTTCCTTAATGGTTTCTACACTGTAGGTGCGATGACTATTGAAGAACGACCACACACAGTGGTACAGCCTGCCACAGAGTGGATTAACAGTACCTTCTGTATCCTTAGGGTTGACTGCGCCTGGAAAAAATAAAATATTCGCCAGGATATCTTTTACTTTATTGTTGAAGAAGACTTTCTTCGGATTATTAACCATTGGTTAAAATATCTGGACAACCTAAGAAACCTAAAAATAATGTATGTGTTCTATAAGACAGGAAAACAAAACACACAAAAGTGCTTAAGGCTCAGTTACAAACGAGTGACAATAATCTCACCAGTACAGAGAGAGACGATGCTGCTGACTACAAATGTTATGATGATGCCAATAACGCCAGAATAGCAGTAGGACACCTCGTAGATAGTATTATCTGCAGACCTGTGGAGGTGTACACTCAGTAATTTACTGTTCTTAAGTTTTCAATCAAATGTACAAGAACAGGGATAAACAATGGGAATCTAAGACTCGGCATTTTCTTTAATTCAAATGTACAATGGAAAACTCCTGACAATATTAGTTAAGCACAAGTAAAGTTTATTCTATAAATTATGTTTTTATTATGCATTAAAATATAACTTGTTAAACTGTGACTATATATTTTTTTATTAAAATCTGGGCTTAGGTCTTTATATTGATTTTAGGAGAAATTAGCTTAATAGACGAAAGCAGATAGGTAGTTTTAGATGATCAATCCCTTAGCCTTGATGGACGAGGATCAGTCAATTAGCCTTGATGGAAGATGATCAGTCCCTTACTAGCCTAGATGGAAAATGACCAGTCAATTAACAAGGCACAATATACCTCCAATGAAAAGCTGTGGTGTGCAGAGTACACTAAGGAAAAACACAAAAAGTTTAAGGGCCCAAGACTGCTCAAAAGCCTCCCATCATACATAAGAGTTTACCAATAGACTCCCAGCTATCTTAAAGAGGAAACTCGATAGATACAAGCTGTGGTTTGTACGTTTGATTGCATGTGGCCAGTAGTAACTGAAGGGATGATTATGCCCTGTTTCCCAGGAAGGCCTGGTCATGGACCGTACACGAGGGCGTTGATCCCTGGAACACACTCCAGGAAGACTCCAGATAGACTGTACTGCACATTTGTTTTACCCGGGTTAAACTGCGTCAAGATAGACCATTGTGGATGCAAGATAGCAAACATCTGACAGAATGATGAAACAGACACAAATGCAGAACAAAGCTTTTATTGGCAATCTTTTGTTTTTAAAAGCCTCTAGTACAGGCGTAACATTGATTCAATAAAACTTTTCTTCTGCATTTTATTTATTTCAACCAGAGGTCTTGGAAAGATGTTTATAAATTTAAATGTATTAATAGGCAGGTAAATCAGCGTGTGGCCTGGTTAATAAATGTGGCATAATAATAATAATAATAATAATAATAATAATAATAATAATAATAATAATAATAATAATAATAATAATAATAATAATGATGATAATAATAAAATATAATATCTTTATTTCTACAAGTACATGTACAAGGTATACAGGGCTAGCTGACATCAGTGATATACTACTATATAGAAAGCCCTTTGTTATGTAGAGCATTTCGGGCAAATTAGGTCAATTTTGTCCCGGGATGCTACCCACACCAGTCGACTAACACCCAAGTGCCCATTTTTACTGATGGGTGAACATGGACAACCGGTGTGAGGAAATACGCCCAATGTTTTCACCCTTGCGGGAATCGAACCGCGCACTCAGCGTATGAAGCGAGAGCTTTGCCACCAGGCCACGGGCCACTGTGTTTTGAGACTACTGACCCCTGAGCAACAGTAGAGATGGGTAGATCAGTAACAGTCAGTGTGGAGTCAGCTAGCAGAACATCAACTGCTGTGGTGGTAGTCAGCACATCATCAGTCACTGAGACGTTGCTGACGATGGTGGTGGCGGTGGTGTTAAGGAGAAGGAAGAGGTTCTCTGGGCAGCCATCAGTGGAGAGAGGAAGGCGTGTTGGTGCTCCACCGCCTCGCACAAACTTACCAATAACTACCCAGACATTAAAAACGAAGGACACGATGAACCCCACGATGGCGCCCTGACACCAACACCAATAATTATGAACTTTATAAATAATTTTTTAGAGAATACACTTTAAATTTATAGAATATTTGCATTAATCACATAATTATTATAGGAAATACAGTTATTAAGATTTATTAAGATTTGGCTCTTGATAACCCAACAAAGCATAATAATTATTTATATTCAAATACTCCATCAGTATACAGTATCTAAACTGTTCATAGCCAACGACTAGAACAAAGTTACACCAACAGTGGAAAGTTAGAATTATATAGAAAGTAGCTGCTGCAGCATACATTTATTTAAATGTTTAGCTGTGCATTACTTCTATAATTTAATATGACTCAGAATTAAAAAAAACTATATTATGTACCTTTGTGTTAACCCAAGGTGCGCACATTCCTGAAATAAAGATACCAGTAAGGGGACCGCCAACGGCAGACAGAATGCTGTTTGATACGTGGAAGATGCTTCCCAGCTTATCCACCAACAGACTCAAGCACACAGCTAATATACCAGCTATTAATGCTGAAATGATAAAAAAATAACATTAAAATTTTCCTTGTCATTGATGGTTTTAAATGTATTAATAGGTAAGACCAGGAAATAAATTATCAATTAGTTTGACCGGTATCAATTAAGACTGCAAGTATAATTGTATTACTTGCCACATCATTGTTCAAAAATCTTCAGCAAGTGTAACTCCAGATGCAAAACTAACTGAGATGATAGATAATATATTCCCAGCAGGATATTAAGTTACGAAGAAAGAAAGAGAAACTGGGGAGGTGAGGTTTTTTGCTGCTGACCTAAAACCAGTGGAGTTTTGAAGAGGGATAAACAGAAATGATTCAATTGATAATATTGCGAGCACATTCAAGACTAAGGGAAAAGGTAATAGTAGCAGTGATCAACAACTATTCACAAAATAGTTGGAAACTGCGACAACAACAATAAAGCAATGGTCAACACCAATGGTACTAATAACGAGAGAATTAAACCACACAAAAAAAAAAAACAAGACTGGGAGAACCGGGACCCAAAAACGCCTAGGCTAAGATGATCGAGGTGGTGCAGAAAACTTTTTATCAGCATGGCAAGGACTCAGCAAAAGAAAGAGGAGACGGTGAGTCAGCAAGACTTTGGGATTCTCCTCATAGCTAGACTAGTCTAGGTTTGAGGACAGGCTGAAGGGTCCGAACCTGGCAATATTAGAAAGAAGAACCAGAGAAGACATGAACACGACATTAAAAATACTCAGAAGACTTGTCTGGAAATATTTCTTCTGCCTGAGGGTGATAAGGAAGTGGAATGACCTGAACAAAGTAGTAACTAAAGCAGGTTCCATACATAGTTTTAAGAATAAGTATGACAGTCCACAAGGCTAGCGATAAGCTGGGACTCGATCCCTGCAACCACAAATAGTTAAGCACAAACTGAGGAGTACATATTTGACAAGTAATGTAGTGGATATTAATCCTGTGACGTCATGCAAACGCTACAGAGCCTTTACCTTCCTGTATATGGGAAGACAAATTATCCACATCTAGATGGAAGAGAAAAATTGGACCAGTGTTCAAAACATGAGAAAACAGGTGTTAGTTCTTACTTCACTAGAAGTCGCCTTCCCTCCCTGGGGACTATTAGTAACCTCCAGTGTAGAAAAAGAATCTGATGGTAACCCGACTACTGATGTGTAAGAGGAAAATTTCTCTCCCACCTCTCCAAAAACAAAGGACTTGCAGAAACTTGTAACCAATGCTTATGCCAGAGGAAGACGTCGGCACATATACAAGGCCAGTGAAGTCCACACACTGCTTGGAAAAGTTTGTTTGTTTGAGTTAGTGTTGTCTGCTGGTTCTTAATTTGTTCTTTCAGTCAGATAGTTACTAGAGGAGTTGTTTTACTACAATAAGAGAAAGCAATACTTACAAAGAAGTTTCACAACGTTGGTGGCGCTAGAGTTACACAGGTGGCGGAAGTAAGGGCGATCCTTCAAGAAGTCTTCCCAGATTATACAAGCGAACGAGTTGACGCAGGATGATAGTGAACTGGCGTAGGTGAAAATAAACTTATAATTACCATGAAATCATATAAATGCAGTTATTAGTGAGTCAAAATTATGCAACATTATCCAGTTTTAGGATGGCCATTCATGCATTTAAAGTATGTTAAATATTTTTGCTATGAGGCCTGGTCACAGACCGGGCCGCGGGGGCGTTGACCCCCGGAACTCTCTCCAGGTAAACTCCAGGTATGACTGTCAGACACATGCTAGTGTCGGCAGCTGTACTTGCAGCCAACATTTATTAAAACATAAATATAACAGAAAACAAAATCAGCGACATGCAACGAAGAGGATTTCAGAATTTAGAAGCTGAAACTACGAAGAAAGACTGAAGGCACTAAATTTATTATTATTAGAACAGTAAGGAGGAAATGTGATAAGATTACTACTTTAAGTTCAAGAAAAACTATGCAAACCTTTTAGGAAAAATATCTTTGAATTAGTAATTAAGAGAACAAGGGGACACATCTTCGGTTGGTGAAGATGTAGAAAGTAAAGGACAGGAAGCGTGATGTTTACAAGTGTTGGAGCGAGGACCTCCCTGAGAACACCTCCATACACACCAGTGAGGACCTCCCTGAGAACACCTCCATACACACCAGTGAGGACCTCCCTGAGAACACCTCCATACACACCAGTGAGGACCTCCCTGAGAACATCTCCATACACACCAGTGAGGATCTCCCTGAGAACATTTCCATACACACCAGTGAGGACTTACCTGAGAACATCTCCATACACACCAGTGAGGACCTACCTGAGAACACCTCCATACACACCAGTGAGGACCTACCTGAGAACATCTCCATACGCACCAGTGAGGACCTCCCTGAGAACACCTCCATACACACCAGTGAGGACCTCCCTTAGAACACCTCCATACACACCAGTGAGGACCTCCCTGAGAACACCTCCATACACACCAGTGAGGACCTCCCTGAGAACACCTCCATACACACCAGTGAGGACCTCCTGAGAATACCTCCATACACACCAGTGAGGACCTCCCTGAGAACACCTCCATACACACCAGTGAGGACCTACCTGAGAACACCTCCATACACACCAGTGAGGACCTATCTGAGAACACTTCCATACACACCAGTGAGGACCTACCTGAGAACACCTCCATACACACCAGTGAGGACCTACCTGAGAACACCACCATACACACCAGTGAGGACCTACTTGAGAACACCTCCATACACACCAGTGAGGACCTACCTGAGAACACCTTCATACACACCAGTGAGGACCTACCTGAGAACACCACCATACACACCAGTGAGGACCTATCTGAGAACACCAGTGAAGACCTACCTGAGAACACCTCCATACACACCAGCAACGAAGATGCCGGCCATGCCTGTCAGGTGACTCAACTTGTCGGTCACTAAGAACGGGATAATCTGGTCAGGCTTTTCTATCTTGCCTGATGCAAGCGGGTCACAGTCACTATAGTTTGCGAAAGCGACAAGTCCAGAGAAGTAGAAGACTACCCACAGAAAGTACAGCCCCACCAGGAACACGTACAGTAAACTGCAAAATAGAATACCTTAATAATTTTGGGACAGTGTGTAATTAACTAGCTGCAATTATTTAGCTGAGTTCTAGAACTTAACCTCGTGTTGACTGTTTCTTTCGTATTTTTTTGAAGCGTGTTAACTTATCTTACTTCCAATACATTGTTACCCAGTCCATCTCACTTCTTTATTATAGTATATTTTGGAATGTAGTATCTTACTTATTTGTGTCCGTCTCCACCAGTGTCGTCTTGTTCTCCTGTCCATGGTAAACATTCTCTCTGCGTATCTCTTCTTCTTTTCCATTCATGTAACATCTTGGGGTCCAGTTGCATAGTTTTCACAGCTATTAATACCCAGGATACAAAGATAAATATCCGAAATGTATAAGGAAAAGACAGAGGTTATATTATTATTACTCAGTTCTGGTACCAGACTAGTGGTAAAAACCTCGTAATTTTTCAAGCAAATCTCTCATCATAATTTTTATCTACATGATCAATTGGTGCTCTGTTCTTCTGAACATATTCGTTCTTTTGTTCTTACTCGTTCTTGCTCTAATCTGCCAAGTGCTAGTGATTTGCGTCTGGCATTCCTCCCTCTCTGGCGTCCAGGCCGACCCGCCAGCTTTATGACGCTGAATTACTATATAACCTGCTATAATCACTCAGTTACTGGGTCTAGTTCTGGCTTTTCCACCGCTCACGACCTTTCCTCTCACCTACCTATTATTACCCCGTAATCCATCCAACCAGAGCCTTCCCTGTTCTCTCCAGTCTAATCTTGCTTATTGGGGTTCCACACTAGTTACTGAAAATTACCTACCTAGTAAGTAAGTTTACTGAGGTACGTAAGTGCACCTTACGTCTTAGCCTCAATTCTCTTAATAAGTCCCTCGAGGACAAAAGCACTTAGAAGACCTTTCGATTGTTTTTAGTGGTTATTTTTTATAACGACAGCGAAAACACAATAATATATTTAAAAACTTGAAATGTATGGCAGCTCAATGACGTTTAGTGTTTAAAATTACCTTTGTGATATCTGAAGCGTCCTGACAGAGGCAAACCTCTGGTAAGTGGTTTGGTTGAAGCCAACTGCATAGATCATGATATAAAATCCAAGCACCATAGTTGACCAGAAGGTGTGGCGCTCGAAGGGACTCGTGCTGAAACTGATGTTAAAGTAAAGAAAGTGTTTTATTGCCAAAGACACAAATAATGGACTACAATGTGGAAGTGATCCAAAATTCTGACGAAATCACGTTCTTTCACTCACTTAAAAAACTGAATACGACCTCCACGGTCAGCGATGGACCAGACGTTGGCAACACCTCCCATGTCGACGCAGCAGATGATGACCACCAACAGGACTCCGCCGAACATGATCAGTGTTTGTAGCACATCAGTGTACACCACGGCCTTCACGCCTCCCTGACACAATTACAGTTACAATTACAGTGCTCGTTGCACATTAACAAACCCAGCAACAGGAACAGTAACTCGCATTACTGAAACTATCTGGGAACTATGCTATTGATACCTTTGTAACACTAAGAAATCGACACCTAACCAGGACTGGTAAACACATCTATTAAATAAGAAAAAGCTTCATGTGTATGTTGATAAGTATAACAGAATATGTGATACCAACTGTTATGTCAAACTTCTGATACAAGAATTTGCAATTAAATTAAAAAGATCAATTAGAAAATTTAGATCGGTATGTCAGGCAACACAGCGTTGTGAAAATCGATTTTAGCATTATATTAAACCACTAATGGATAATAATCTTCCAGAAGAGAAAAAAGAGATAGTTGTGGAAAATTGCATTTTTCTGTATAACTCATAATGTACATAACAGTAAATAACAAAAATAATTATTATTTATCAGTTAGGCAAGTAGGAATTTGGGACACCTAGGTCGCAAAAAATGTCCCCCTTCGATACCTACCACTGTCATATCCACAAGTTGCTCTGGACCTATTAATTAAATGAATTATACATCACCAGGAATGTTGGTAAATATATAAATTTGTGGACTGTATATTAAAATTAAAAAATTATTATAGATACACATATACATAACAGAAAGAGAATATCTTATTATCACTCACCAATTTGACTGGAGATTAATGTGTATCGTACTCAGAAAACCTCATTCTAACTAAATCTATGAAAACAATGCTGGCCAGAATTATACACAAATCTAGAGAGCTTATCTGAGGTTCCTGGAGCTGTCTTGTCCAGTCGCCTGATATCTCAAGTTATGCAGGAATGCATATCCACCAATTTCGCCTCCTATTTGAGAGGTGTCAGCACGAAAAATTCTTCCCATTTCACCAACGTTCTAATACAAATTCAAACAAAATGGCGACTCTCCTTCAGCGCAGACACAGACTCTCCGTTCTCTATGACATAAATATTATTAAATACAGTATAGCCATCTATTTACATATAACTACTGTATTTCTGGAAAATATATACTGTATTTTCCACAATAGTAATACTCATGTAAGTACTTCATTTCCATGTCATATTCATCAGCATATCTTCCTTTAATTAAACTTACGTATTATGAACCATGCTGAAAATAGATATTCTTTTCAACAGTTTGACATACAATTAAATTACACGATTAAAAGTATAGTTATCCTAGTTGTGTACTCTCACCTAAATACAAATATTTTCTACAGAAAGAGTGATCCTTCAGCACAGTTGACCTCTGTACCAAAGTACATCAAGAACATCCATTTCCCATACATGGAGCCTCTAATATTTTTTTTTTATCAGAAAGGAACTTACTAAAATTTGCTTCTACAAATAAGATTTAGAATAATCTTCAATGACAAATTTGTTTTGGGATCACACCTCGGCACTTACAGAAAGAGTTTGTGAACATTTGGGTAAAGACACTTCAGAGGTGATATCAGGTTTCTAGGCAGTGTTCTTCAGGTAGCCACTACTATATTCATACAAACTTAATAGTGAAATCTGACTCCTTTGCAGAACTGGTCTTCAAATTTTGAAATCACGGCATTTTATACAGCAAAGATGAAATCACATTAATATAATTAACACAACTTTAACTGTATACACACTCCAGAAATTGCACCCGTTAATCCCTAATTTGCCATATCTTGTCAGACAAAGTTGTATTTTGACTTCATCTTCCAACACCTTGGTTGAAGAGGAAATTGTTTTAAGTGACTGTGTACTTCAAATTTCAAGCTGAATTCTGAGGTGGAATAGGGTGGCAGCACCATGCTATCTTTCCTCTGAGAAAACATCCCTTCAATCTACCTGTTGATGCTCTTTTAGCACTGCATAGCTCCCGATGACGCACGGAAAAGTATGAAAGATATATATATATATATATATATATATATATATATATATATATATATATATATATATATATATATATATATATATATATATATATATATATATATATATATAGTGCCGAATATGTAAAACTGGTCAATTAGCAAGAACTCATTTAAAATTAAGTCCTTTCTAAATTTTTTTCTTATACGTTTAAAGATATATTTTTTTCATTAATGTTAATGTAAAAATTTTTAATTTTGCTCCAAAAGACTCTTAGAAAACTTACCTAACCTTATTATAACAAGAGCAATTTATTTTAGCCTAACCAAACTAAATATATTTTTTATTTGTTTACAATAATTTAATACTAAACAAACACAGTGAAACATATTTTTTTCGTTAGGTTCAGAATGATTTTGGCGAAATTATTGCATACACAAATTTTCACTTGTCTTATATGGCAAGATGAGCGTTGCTATTTAAGCCAAGATCGCAAGTTCTGCCTATTCGGCACGACCTATATATATATATATATATATATATATATATATATATATATATATATATATATATATATATATATATATATATATATATATATATTATATATATGTATTTATTTGATAATCATATTATGAAATTTTTTTTCGTATCTACTCTTTTGATGTAGATGTGTATGACCTGAGGAGAGAGGTGGGTTGTACTGTAGCATGCTCGTGGCTTTTAGTGCCTGCATGTAAGAAGTTATGGCTAGCGGAGTAGAAGATTCTCGTTCGCACCTGAACCTCATGCACATATGCAATATTTAAAAGGATATAGAGCTATTTTATTGAATAATATGGAGTAAAAACAGATGTATTATATATTATCATGTGCGTGTCGATGAAGTGTAATCTCTAAAGTTAATCTAGGATGTAGAACGATATCCCTATTATATACGAGTTATGAGACAGGAAAGAGAAACCAGCATCTAGCCATATGCAAAAAGTTCGAGTTGTTGTTTCAGATATCTGGCAGGGACGGTAGTATTCCCTGGGTGGTTGCTGTCTACCAACCTTCCACTACCAGTCTGTAGTGGAAGGAAGGCGGGGTAGGGGTCGGCCTAGGAAGGGTTGGAGGGAGGGGGTAAAGGAGGTTTTTGTGTGCGAGGGGCTTGGACTTCCAGCAGGCATGCGTGAGCGTGTTTGATAGGAGTGAATGGAGACAAATGGTTTTTAATACTTGACGTGCTGTTGGAGTGTGAGCAAAGTAACATTTATGAAGGGATTCAGGGAAACCGGCAGGCCGGACTTGAGTCCTGGAGATGGGAAGTACAGTGCCTGCACTCTGAAGGAGGGGTGTTAATGTTGCAGTTTAAAAACTGTAGTGTAAAGCACCCTTCTGGCAAGACAGTGATGGAGTGAATGATGGTGAAAGTTTTTCTTTTTCGGGCCACCCTGCCTTGGTGGGAATCGGCCGGTGTGATAATAAAAAAAAAAAATATATATGTATATATAATTGGTATTTAACTTCTTTGAATAAAATTCATATTATGACAAATATTACAATTATTCGCAGAGTAATCAATACTCACTATTGTGATGTAGAAAGTGCATATAGAGCCCATGATGAGCGAGGAGGCCCAGGATGAGAGTTCAGTGACTGTAGTCAGTGCTACTGTAGGAGCGTATAGACACATGGCCATGTAAATGAAGTTACTGAGCAGCAGGCACAAAGTAGACAGATTTCTCAGCGTGCGCGACCTGAACCTCAAATGCACATACTGCAATATTTGTCAAAGGATATTATGAATATTTTAACTTGCACGCAGTAATCATGCAGTAAAACAACATGATAACTTATAATTTCAGTATTGAAAACGTGAAAATAATATTAAATCTCTAATAATTTACCTCATTGATGGAAACGATATTGTGCCCAATAAAAATCGGAAGAATGACATGGGCCACGAAGAGACAACCCGGGATGCAGCCTATCAAAATAGTGGTGAGTTGTGTACCATAGAAATATATCTCGGTAGGGTTACCTGTAAAATGTTTTACTGTTAATGGACAGCTGAAACACTTAACAGTAACTAACACATTTGTAGTTAAGAAAAAAAAAACAAGGAATGGGTATATCCTTGTGAAGTGTTGTCTTGAGGACACACCAGGTTCACGATTAGTGATTATTATCTGAACAAGGACAGTATAAACTGGGAGGGTATCACAATTTATATAACTGCTGAACTCATCCTAGAAGTACTGTCCGTAGGAACAGAGACAACAGTAGTGTGAAATGTTCAAGAGAAATATACCAGGAGAAACATTGGCAGTGTGTTAGTGACGCGAGACAACATTATCCTGAACATTGTTATCATATACATATAATGGAGTGTGGCCCTAGTCATACCTTACAGTGCCTTTCGTCGCATCAGATATGATTACAAACATCTCTGCATAGCAATACAGAGAAGTAAAGGTTTGTCCAGCACAGTTATTAATCGGCCAATACAATGAAAATACAGTTTTCTGCGTATAATAGCTAAATTATTAGTTCTGGTAGACTTCACAGTTGTCTTCTAGGCTATACATTCTTAGCATGTGTACAGCACGGTACACATCGAATCGATGCTCCAGTTCTCTTCAAGTATTGGCCAACATATCTGATCTGGCTTTTATGATGCCATTATTATTAACATTGTTTCAAAGACAGATAATGATATCTGGAAAACAAGCTTTCACTACCTCTAAGAAGAAGTCTCTAGGCAAGTGAGGGGCTATCACATCAAATTCATCTGCCAGTGAATTTCACGTTACAATAATTATGCAATCGTATGTAGATAACTCCATTTTCATATCAGTTACCATACTGTTGTAATATTATTTTTAATTTGGAAAAAACTTATTTTATCCGTTTTTACCAGCTGGCTGCCATTTGTTTTCAACTGGTCGCCATTTGATATCATGTGGTTGTTATTTGTTACCAGCTGAGTGCCATTTAATGCACTGCCATAATCAACAACAGCAATATTAAAACAGTATATCAAGCAAATTGTTGATAAACAAATGCATAGCTTAAAACAAAAATATGAACACCGAACAATTTCTGGCATACATTTACAGAAAAAAGAAACTGTTGAGTATGACAATTTTGAAATGTTAAAAATTTGTTTTAACCTTCCTCATGCCATGTATTTAATTATGTGGTTATATTTTATTGTGAATTCGAAGGGAAAATCCGTCCTTGAAATAATTTTCATATAGTAACGAACTAAGGAACTGTGTTCGAAGACTGACCTAAAATGGATATTGCAGAGATCCATCCTCCTAGCAGAGACAAGGCTACTGGTGCCGGTGACATGGTCTTGCCTCCCAGCAGGTACTCTTGCGTGGAGGCTTTACCTCGGCTCCTGATGGCGCTGACCAACCCAATGCCTACTGAAGCCACCAACATGAGGCTGAACACCGTGTAGTCCACGGGGGTGAACTTTGGCACCAACTGCTCCTCCTCTGCTGTTACGGGCGTCTCCGTCGAATCCATTTTCTAGGTACCTTACCCTTAAGTTTTGTGGCATCCAAAAACCAGTGTTATTTATGCATTTAGGTAAGACACATGTGCAACAGTAAAGTATCTTTCGTCTGAAAAATTTCGGTTATAAATAAATAATACTTCAGTCGAATGCAAAGGTGACTAATGTACAGACAGCAGAAGTAGTGGAGAGGTAAAAATAATGTGATCATTCAGCCAGAAGATGTTTACACTGTTCAAGACTATGACAATGAATAATATTTCCACGGAGAGGGACAGACCACCTCTAAACTACTTCTTTAAGACTGATGGACTCATCACATCATTTCTACCTCTACTGCTTCTTCCGTCTTCACCTCTGTATTCGACTGAAGATGCCTACTGTATAGGCGAAACTATTCGAAGCTACTCAACTCGCATATGTTACTTATACACTTACTAATCGGTGTTAAATACCATTATTAATAATGTTAAGCTAAAAAAATTATTTTAATATTTATTAAATCTGTAAAAGAAGCACAAGATTATATAAAAAAAATATTTTCTGCATCTCATTCAAGGCAATAACAGAGTAATAAATCTTGTCCCCTTCCCAGTATTTACTCACGTATAGCATCAAAAGTAGAATCTTAGGTATTTTGATGACCTCTCTTCTCTGGAAAAGCAGCTAGGTAGGATGGGGGGAGAAATCAGTAATTGCGAATGTGGCTTTTCTTCTATGGGCCACCTTAAGTTGGTGAGGAATAGCTAATGTGTTAAAATAAACAAATGGAAGCTTTCCTCGAAATTACACTGGCTTTCTAAGCCACGTACTTACTGTTAATAACATTTTAATCTTGAGAAACTTTATCATGTCTGTTGAAAGCATCATCAGTGCACAAGATATTCTCAGTTACCTAGCGAGGGAGAGAGAGATGAGAAGGTAATGTGTTGTGTTGGTGTCTTGTCATGCTTGACACACATGTGGTTACACAAGTGATGGTAAACACCTCTGTAGTGACAGCTTGTGTATAGTGTAGTACCAGGTGGTGAATGGTATGGTACCAGGCTGTGAATGGTATGACACCAGGCTTTGAATTCCCCTTTAGAGTAAAGATGTGACTCTGGGACTAACACTTAGCATGTCCAGTAGGTTGGTCCACTGATAAAGCAGAAACTTGATTTCTGACGTTCATCGTCTCGCTCCTTCGTTCTGTTCCCTCCTTTTGGTTATAACATTATTCGTGTAAAATTTTATGATGAGTGAACTTCATTTAGAGGTAACACAACGACATCAAATTTTCACCCCTACAGAATTATAATTCTCGTTCTTTATAATTCAATCATAAAAAAAACATGAATGCTATAAGTTTGAAGCCGACCAGAAGAAGAATTCTCCAGAAATTAAAAAAAAAAAAAACATGTAAATATTTAGGAAAATTTGCACCTACACAGCCTAAATTTAGAGAATATAATTCTTCTCATAATATACATTAGCCACTGAAGACTGACATTATTCAAGCTAGGCCTAGTTAAGATATTTTACGAGAAAAAATGCCACACATTTTTTTTAAAAACTACTCAGCAAATTAGACATCGCATATTCTAACAATGTTACAAACTTTCTAGTAAGTAGAAGATACATATAATCTTTCAAAGTTTAAATGGTCTATATAACACGGATAACATGACAAAAGTTACCTGAAACTTGACTCAGCTACAATACACAAATGTTGAACATTTGAAATCGATCAGCCAAAATTATTGCTAATTTACGCAAAATTCGATTTAGTTTAAAACAATTACACAGCTTGTCTATATATTTTTTCACTTAAAATATTTTTTTTGTATTCATGTATTTTTTTCGCAAATACATTCAGTAGAAAGTAAACATGAGTGAGCATGTACAACACCAACACACACACACACACACACACACACACACACACACACACACACACACACACACACACACACACACACACACACACACACACACATACACATACATACAGGCAGGACACAGCAGCAGCTGTTCTCCTCCAGTGCCTTACGATCCCCGTGTGGGAGAGGCGTTCTACCATTGTCTTGCAGAATCCTTTCCTCAGCCTTCAGTGCAGGAACAGTGCGTCGTTGGCCTGCTACCCAAGGGCAGCTCACCGACCTCTGCACTCCTGCAGCTGCGTGATTCCACCACAACCCAGAGAAACACCTGCTGAACTTCCCACCATTAGTAAGCACAACCATTGGCAAACAACCTCCAGCACAGGAACAGTGCGTCGTCGTCCTCCTGCCCAAGGGCAGTACACTGACCTCTGCACTCCTGAAGCTGCGTGATTCCCGTCACCACAATCCTGGGTAACGTCTGCCAACTTTCAATCCATAGAATCCCAGTCCCTCTGCTTCAAGCAAACACAACCTTAGCATACAGTGAATCTCTATGGCATGTTCATTATATATCAGTCTTCTGAGAATATCTAGACAGCATCTCTGATGATCAATATCTTTTTTGTGTGTGACACGGTTTTAGAATACTTTTGCGTCGTAATTTCCTAAGAGGCCAGTCGAACCCACTTCACTGAGGTGGTTAAAGATACCCACACAGTGGATCGGCTAGACTACATCACTTGGGTAACACCAACGCCTTTCTCTCTTCCCTAACCACGTTTCTTTTCTTCTGGACCGGGCGAACCTACTCCTGCGTCGGTGGGAGTATTCGTTCAAACGGTGCCTGTGGCCGAATCCAGGTGATTACCGCACAGGACGCCAAATCTTGGCAGGTACACACACCAGAACATACTCCTGACGCCCCACGATCACTATCTGAGCCAACACGACTGGCTGCCCTGCCCCATGATAAGTTGTCACGATGAATCAACCGCAAGGCTCTCCACCTCCCATGCCGACGTCTCTCTCTAGCCCCCGCCCCCCCCACCCTACCTCACGCAAGGAACCCTCCTTCACTCTCCTCCTCAAGTACTCCAAAGAGGACCACCACTCTTTATTAGCTAGTGACACGCTCTACAACATCGCTTCCCAAACTATTCCACTTCCTGACTACTCTGTGGCTGAAGAAATACTTCCTAACATCCCTGTGATTAATCTGTGTCTTCAACTTCCAACCGTGTCCCCTTGTTGTTGTGTCCCATCTCTGGAACATCCTGTCTTTGTCCACCTTGTCAATTCCTCTCAGTATTTTGTATGTCGTCATCATGTCCCCCCTACCTCTCCTGTCCTCCAGTGTCATCAGGTTGATTTCCCTTAACCTCTCCTCGTAGGACATACCTCTTAGCTCTGGAACTAGTCTTGTTGCAAACCTTTGCAAATTCTCCAGTTTCTTTACGTGTTTGACTAGGTGTGGGTTCCAAACCGGTGTGTGTGTGTCTGTATGTGTGTGTGTGTGTGTGTGTGTGTGTGTGTGTGTGTGTGTGTGTGTGTGTGTGTGTGTGTGTGTGTGTGTGTGTGTGTGTGTGTCTGTGCTACCCTCCTGAGAGCACTCAGGAGGGTAGCACAAACGTTTCCAGGGAGGAGAACTGTAGACGCTCCAGCGAAAGCCAAAAACAAAACACAAGGGAAATTCTTACCTCCGTAGAATGCACAAACATCATGATTACTGAATACTTAACGAAGCAGTGATGAGCTCCTGACTGATCTTAATGACTTGACAAGACGACTGAGGTGGCGCATAAATGTGCGGTTTGTAGGGGGGGGGGAAGCAATGGCGAAGGGAATCAGTCGTAAAATGAACCGGTCCACACAGTAAGCCCGTGGTAACGGGAACCATTCCACACCGTAAGCCAGTCGGAACTCGAACTGGTCCACATTGTAAGCCAGTCGCAAAGGGAATCGGTCGTAATAGTGAGTGAGGATTCTCTGAAGAATATTAAAACCTTCCTCGAGAATAGAAGAGAAAAGCAGAGAATCACGTAAGTGAAATGTTAAATACATGAAGATGGACAGTCAATTAGAGACAGCAAGAGAGAGAGAGAGAGAGAGAGAGAGAGGAGAGAGAGAGAGAGAGAGAGAGAGAGAGAAGCCAGACAGGCAGACAACACACACATACTTACAATAATGCAATATAACAAAGAGAAAGACACTATCTGATACATCAACACAGCTCTTGGGTCTCCGAACATGCGAGTGCATCACGTTCCTAAACACGTTTCACTCTGGAATTACGATCCATTACAGGAGCCGTATAAAAGGCTCATATGCGGAATTAGGACAATCACTGGGTAGATGTTTCGCCCACCAGGGGCTTCCATAGTCTAATTATTAATTTTATAAAAACTCTAGTCCTAATACTGTTTACGTGTCCTTCTTACCCGCGTGTTCGTAATGTTATTTATAAGACCCGCAATAAAAGAAAGAAGAAAATATAATGCAAATTTTAAAAAATCCTATAAAATGCAAGAAAACTACAAAAAAAAAGCGAGAATTTCTCTTTAAAACAATGGTTTTTATTTCATATAATGTATAAGATTCTATGGAATTTTTCCCTTAAATAGAAGTCTGAAGAAAAAGATTGATTCATGTTTTGGGCAAATCTTCTCCACAAGTGTCCAGCAATAACAGCAGCTGCAGCGGCAGCGGCAGCAGCAGCAGCAGCAGCAGCAGCAGCACACCACCACCACCACCACCACCACCACCACCACCACCACCACCACCACACCACCACCACCACCACCACCACCACCACCACCAGTAACAATAGCAGTAATAACAGCAGCAACAGCAATGACAGCAATAACAGCAGCAGCAATAACAGCAACAATAGCAGCAGCAACAACAACAATAACAACAGCACTAGCAGGAACAGCAGCAGCAGCAATAACAGCATCTATATCGCGCATATTTGACCACCAAAAAAAAAAGGTATCTATCTAATATGGTATATTTTGCAAATTTTCCGAAGTCTCTGCCCATAACACCTCCAGAGATATTTCTGACATATATTTCGTGAACCTGGACCATTTCCCGATGGAAATTACAGTGATTCGTAAGTCCAGGATCCAGCTCGCTGGAATTTCTCTTATTGTATTTGATTGAGAAGTAATTTTATTGTATTCATGGGGAAGCGCTAAACCTGTAGAGGCCATAAAGCGCCCGGGGGTAGTGAGAGACAATCTGGTGTAATATAGGAAATAGAGTGATGCGAATTACTTTGTTCAAGAGCCTTGAGAAGCAATGATCTGAGTGGTCACTATGAGAGACGTATCTGATTGATCATTGAAAGATAAGTATCTGAGTGACCACCGGAAGAAAGATACCTCAGTCACCACTGGATGAAAAATACCTCAGTCACCACTGGATGAAAAATACCTCAGTCACCACTGGATGAAAAATACCTCAGTCACCACTGGATGAAAAATACCTCAGTCACCACTGGATGAAAAATACCTCAGTCACCACTGGATGAAAAATACCTCAGTCACCACTGGATGAAAAATACCTCAGTCACCACTGGATGAAAAATACCTCAGTCACCACTGGATGAAAAATACCTCAGTCACCACTGGATGAAAAATACCTCAGTCACCACTGGGAGATATCTCAGTCACCACTGGGAGATATCTCAGTCACCACTGGAAAAAAAGACCTCACTTTCAACTGAGAAACTGACAAATCGAGATATGCAAATAAAAAAATATATATCAGAGGCGAACCTTTCACCCCTCATTCCATATCATTTTTCTTGTATACAGATAACAGACTGTTCCCTCTTACCACTCTGAAGACAATTTTGCAGCATCCCGTCGTCAATGTGTCTGTCCCGATGTACATCTGTGGCATCTCGTCCTCTCCGCTGATGCTGAGAAGAAATTTTCTTCGTCTATTTTCATCTCTTGTTATGACTCCTAATGTTGTTATCTCGTCTCCTCTTATCGTATGAACCAACGAAGGCATTTTACATATTTTCAAAATTTCTTCGTAACTCATATTTTTGTTAGTTTCTTTAGCCATTATGAAGATTTTATTTGATTTCTTTTTAATTTTATCCATGTGTTTTATTTTTTTTAATTGTAATATGCTAAATCTTTAGTTCTTGAATCAAATGCATTTTTTTTTTTTTAGAAATATAGGCATATGCAAACTGCCCATCCATTTCGTTTCTTAAATAATTTCTGTGCCTCATAGTAACTTAATACAACACGATTTTGCTGATGGGATAGTAAACTTTTTTCTAATGGCTTTATACAGAATGTTTACAACAGAGCTTGTCAGTGAGACGCTGTAGTTGAAGGTTCTCCTCTGTTACCCTCATTAAATGTCCACTCTGTGTCATAGTTACCATTTGTGCACTTGCCTTTTATTGTGTGGGTAGTTTTAAGCTATATTATAATTGTTAATATTAACATAAGGTATTATTACTAAATTAACTTTTGCGCAAATGTAAAAAAAAATTTGCGTACTATGTTTATTTCCGTTAATACAACGATCAATGTCCAAGATATAATTTTCGAAAATATCTACACGCATTTTAATAATTTCATACACCAAGAGGTGTATATATATCTTAGTGTATATACCCTGAGAGTTCATTTTAATCTCTATTATAGGAATTAAAATATTCTTGGCTGGTGGTGTACAGGTGACACTCAGCTTTAATGACCCTCGTGTGCAGAGTTAATAGGCTTTAAACCTAATTAACTAACCATTATAAGGTAATGCGGCTTGTTTGAGTGACTTTGCCTGGCATACATCACATTCGGAAACACAATTTTGCACGGTTCTAAATCAAGTGAGCCATATATCACATTATCTGAGCTTCGGATGAGTCCAAAACACTCTCTTGTTTGCTAACCAGCCAGTGTTACCTTAAAATATTGTTCTGGTTGGCTATAATGAAACAAGCCTCGTCCTAAATCTCAATGAAACTGTCCAATGAAAGTAATTTACCAGGTAATTATATGCCATGCGTGGTAATCAAACTTTCATGAATTTTTATCCCTGCAACATATAGATTCAAGTTAATTACAGCAGCAGTCGCCGCTGTTACGTTCACTGGGGAACGGAATGTACGATGACCAATGTAAACGGTCATTATCACTAACCATCTCCGTTCAGCTGAGCTATAATTCGTTTTATGCTAATACCTTTTTAATTTTATAATCACATATCTCACCATATCAAACATACATCAGCCTCTCAATACTTCTTGGTATACAAAAGCCTTCATGTAACCATATTTAAATTGATCTTTTTACACAGATACCTCAACTAAGACAACAATATTTTAATATGAGTACATTAGAATATTATCTTAAGTATTAGTTTGTCACATGTAAAAATAAGTATATAAGTGGTATATTATATATGAGGAATGTTTATAAACATAGAATTTGCTCAGCTCGTTTGTCAGAACGGTTACTATCTGATGTATGAATCCTCCAGATATATGTAGATGAATGGTTCAGAGAACCGACATGTTGATAAATTAGACACATGTGCAACCCAAGAGTTGCACATGTGTCTAATTTATCTCCAGATATATCTATACACAGATATACCATGTTGTATCAGAGTGGATAGACCAGACAGTCGGGGTAACATGGTGGCTCAGAAGGAAAGGCATTCCGATGAGATTTATGCAACTATAAGGATGGACAGAAAATATTTTGTCAGTTTTGTAAACAATTTCTTGATTTTGGTTTTCGTGTAGTAACTTGTGAAAGCCTCTTCTGATCCGCATGAAACTTTCGACACTGGTGTATCCTACCCAAAACAAGGTTTGGATTGTTGTTGGAGTGCGTGGGTAGCAATTTGAATTTTTTGTTTTAAACTGATTGCATATAATTTTACGTGAGAT